TGGTGTTTATTTGGTAGTAGACCCTTAGATGCATCGGTACAATGTTTAAATTGGTTTATAGAGGTAACGGTTGAAGAAGGATCCTTTACGATTCCAATTTAGTTTCAAGTTTATTATAGGGTGTTTTTTTATGAGCCTAACGGTTAAAAGTACCGTTTGTTGACTTCTTGATGTGCCGATCTTTTCTCAGATTATAAACTTCCCTCTTTCCAAAATTTTAAGTTGAAAGCCCGCCTTCTAAATTTACACCGAATTGTTTTGAAAGGGTTAATCACCAATGGTGATACTAGCCACACCCTTGGTGTTTTCCTCCTAATTTTTAAGTTGTAGATATAAGAAGTGACAGGCACTTGAACCAGGACTTGCACTTGTGTAATCATAGTAATCAATCGTTGGAGATACTCTGTAAATATTGTAAATATATAATTAAGTTGACTTCGCTGCAAGAGTTATATTTTTTTCTACCTTCCACCAAAGAATTAAACAACACGCCTTATTAATTTAACGCGTGTGCTGATATTCTACTTACAATAGTAAGTTTCCGAATATCTGCCTGTGAAATTTAACACACTTAATCATCGAATTGATGGTCAAAGTGATAATTGTCGCAATTGCCACATGCTTCTTTTCTGAAGAAGTTCCGTTAAATAGTCAGTGTCAACATGAACGACATCCTTAAGTATAAGGTACGGGAATCTAAAAAACACTTAATAAAACTTGCTGCCTCTAATTTTGTCTTATATTCAGCAAAAAGATAAGGAGATTGATATCAGGTTTATCCAGACCCGTCTTTTCGGCTGGACATCCTGGTAAGTGCCCAGTGCCCCGCGATCGACAGGGGCGCCCTAGTTTCTACCAGATCCATCCATCAATGAAAAACCAATATTTATTACCGATAAATATAATTATTTTGAGGAAATCAAACAATAATTACAAAACAAAATTGAAAATGCATATTAACAAATATAGAAAGTGTAATGAGGATCCTTTTTAGATCTTTTTCCAAACTGAAAAGAATAAAAAATGAATTAAGAAATACAACGCGCTTCAAGAAAGATTGAGCAGTATGTCGCTAATGTCAATAGAATGTGATGTTCTTAAAGACATAGACTTTGAACAACTGATTCACGATTCTTCTTTTATCAGAACTTAAGATTTTAAGCAGTAACCTATGAATGCTAAAGGAGTTACTGTTCCGAATCATATTAGAATTATATATTCATTCATTGTGATTGTAAAGAAATGAAAATAATTGTTCAATTAATTTACAATTTTGCTTATCAACTCTTTTTGGCTGTTTTAACAAAATATCCTTTGTCAAAGTCATAGAGACGCCGTTTTCCTTCTGTGCCCAGATCCTCCAGTAAGTTAAAGACGGTCCTGGTTTAGTCCATTAGATGAAAAAACAATGTTTTATCATTGATTTAATTAATTTAAAGTAAAAGATATATTTTTATTTTAATTTTCTAGGTACAGATATTCTAACTTAACATAGAGAAAACTAAATTTTTATAACAACGCAAATAATAACAATTTTCGATTGTAAATGACTAAATTCGCCGTAAAAATAGTTTTTATTTTTATTATTTTCGCTTACGAAGCAACGGGATAGTGGGATAAGTTGTAAATATCGCTTTGATATTTCGGTAAATTTTCGTTTTTTATTTTCTCGGTGTAGTACCTACAGCTTCACTTTACAAAGTCAGAAATTAGTAATTAAAAAGTTTACACTATCTGCCGTCACTATCATCTTATGTAGTCACATTGCGAATCCAAACGGATTAGAATAGTGTCATTGTTTTTCGAAGTTTAAAAATATACAGGGATGTTTAACTTTTCCCCCTCTACAACATGGAACAACTCCCGTCCGATAACAAATTTATGTCCGGAAAATTCTCTACCGACTGGACTATATATATAAATTAACATATTTCTCAGTAGTCAATAAATACAATTTTGTTAAATATTATCGGGGCCTGTTTTACCATTTACTTCCGGTGTACTGCATACCAATCGATTTTTTTTTCCAGAGTACGTGTCTCTCATAAAAACAACAAACTTTGTACTTTGAAGTTACCTTTATGTTTTATTTTTCTTCACTTTATTAGAATTTGTTCTTTTTCTCAACCCTAACGAATATGTAAAATTTACGTGCCATAACCAAGATCCATTCTCTTCCCTAAGTGTAAACTTCAGCGAAAGGTATTATGAAAATGTTATCTTCAAAAGTGTTGGACGAGATGAAGTTTTGAACTTTGAACGAGTTTCATATATTTGGCAAAAAGTTTCTTCCTTGTAACACGCACGCCATAAGTTGTCGAGTGCCTACGTTCTACGCGTCTGTATTTTTCTAAAACCGCTAACTTCTCCGTTATGTAGTCGGTTTTGGAAGTGAGTTACAGCTTGTCAAGTGCAGTAGATATTTAATAGACTATACAAAACCTTTCATTTTATGTAAGTATGCTATCTTTCTTTTACTTCAGTTTTTCGTTGTTGCAAAATTGGTGTTCTTCTAATATAAAAGGAGACAAAGAATTACAAAAAGTGTCGATTTTCGATATCTACAAAGTCAGATAACTCATCAGGATTGAAAAATTGGTAGAGACGTAACTCGAAAGAAATCACCATTAAAAGTATACCTGTGTTTGGTATGAAACGTGAACGACGGGCGCTGTGGAAAAGAAAAAGTTAGAAGTCTTTAAAATGTGGTGTTATAGCAGGATATTAAAAATACTGTGAATGGACAAGGTTAGAAATGAAGAAATTTTAGAATCAGTAGGAAAACTGAAGGCGTTAGACATGATGGGTTAGTTAGAGGTTAGAGACATATCATAAACACGTGTAAGTATAAAGAGGAGCAGAGCTAGACCTATATTAGACTACTCTTCGCAGATAGTAAGAGATGTAGGTTGCTCTAGTGTTTGAGAAATGCGAAGACTGACTCCAATTAGGAGCAAGTGGAGGTCTTCAGGTCTTTAGACTTATTATTATTATTATTATCCTGGTCTTCTCAGTTTCCACTGGTAACTTTGAGCAATTGAAGACGGGCTAATGCCAAAGAACCTCATTCACATCTTTTGGGATATAGAAACCAATTTTCTGTTCTTAAAATTTAGGGAGCTAACGGTTCCGAAATATGATCAGTGAGTATTAAAAACTCCGCTTCTTATTTAACCTGTTATGTTTTCTGAAAAGGGGGATGTCAGTACTATTAAGAAATCTGCGCACTATTCCGCATGTATCGAGGATTACTGATATTTGTAGACTTATGTACGTAAACTTATGCAGTTTCAACTCGACTAGGCTAGCGTGTAATGTTTTAGGTATAACGCCTATTATTGATGATATTATTATTGGAATAATTCGAAATGTATTCTAGTTCCACATTTCTTTTATTTCATCAGCCAAAGGAATACGTTCCATTTTTGAATTTTCTCAATATGTTTTTGTTTAACATTTTCAGTGTTTGTTACAGCAACATCTATTAGATAGGTCGTTTTAGTTTCTTTGATGGTCAGTGTGATATCAGGTGTGTTATGATTAACTGTTTTATCTGTAATTACGTCTCTATCCCAATAAAGCTTGGCTAAGTGATTTTCTAATACATTTTGTGGTTTGTATTTGTAGTACGGCTCTATCTGTTCTATAAGTTTAAAACTTTTTGGCCAACAGAGAGTGTATCTGTTTAGCAACATTATTACACCTGTCGAGGTATTGTCGGCTAGCTTATTATTATTATTTTTCTGGCCGTGTCAGTTTTCACTGGTTAACTTTGAGCAAGTGAAGACTGGCTAATACCAAAGAACCTCACTCACATCTTTTGGGATATAGAAACCAATTATGTTTTCGTAAAATTTAGGGAGCTAACGATTCTTCTTGCCCTGAAATATGATCAGTGAGTATTAAAAACTCCGCTCCTTATTTAACCTGTTGTGTTTTCTGAAAAGGGGGATATGTCAGTACTGTTAAGAAATTTGCGCACTATTCGACGATTACGGATTTCTGAAGACTTATGTATGTAAACTTATGCAGTTTCAACTCGGCTAGGCTAGCGTGTAATGTTCTAGGTATAACGCCTATTGATGATATTATTATTGGAATAATTCGAACTGTGTTCTGATTCCACATGTCTTTTATTTCATCTCCAAAGGAATATATTCATAAACATCTCCGTATTGAATATATTAATTACTGCAAATAGCAAATAGCAAAATAATAAACGCCATCTGTAGAATGCTGCATTCTGTGGAATTCATAAATTTTCGATAATGTCTTTAAAAGTATCAGCTTGTCTAACTGAAATTGAGTACATTGTCACATGTAAGTAACCCGCCATTCGTGAAGAAGTGTCAAGGGGTCTATAGTGGGTTGCCTACATTGCGCTAGTAACAAAAAAGACCCCAGGGTTTCTAGATCATTCTGGAATCTTCCTAGAATAAGTCCAGCTCCTATAAACAGTTGCCGCCAAGTCAGAAGAGTAGTAAAGTAGTAAAGGACTAATTAATTAGTAATAGTAGTGTTAATTATAAAGTAATAGTTAAATAAATTGGTTAATAATGCGAAATATATTTTATTACGCGACAATATTCCCTGAATTAACAAATCATTTTATTTAAATTTTTTATCGTGGCATATAAAGCACGTTTTAAGGAGCGATACTGTTCGTAAATGAGATACTCTTACCGTTAGTCTGTCATTGACATGCAAAGGCTAGAAAGATTACTAATAAAGTTTTCGAAAATTCAGCAAAATTCGAAAAGGACATCTGCTAAATCCTTCAATTTAAGAACGTTTCTATAGATTCTTCAATAATTCATTGCTCATTTTGAAAATATTCTTCAACGAAAGGAAACTCTCAGTGCAAATTTACATTACGTAATTTAATATTTCAAAAGTCAATAACAATTAAGTATTCTAAATTAATTCGAGATTCTGTTTACATAACAATATTTACAATTTTAAAGTGATGCTAGTGTGTATTTACAATTCTTTCTTTTCAGAATCAACCACACGGAATGTGGAAGCAAAGTGAACGAAACAACAGTGGCTACGTACGTCATCGTTCAAGAAAATTTACCGATCCTTACCCATAGTACAAGAAGATTTCTTGTTTTGTGTACCTATCAACCAGAAACACTTACCGTAAGAGCTGGGATTAATTTGCCTTCAAGCCAAAAAGGAAGAGGAAAATCTGATGCATTAGCTGTTGAAGATGATGGTAATATGCGAAGGGGACGTTTCCTTAGACCTCCAAAGTTACAAACTCCTGCTGCTCTTGGTAAGTGACTATAGTACTATACATAAATAACATAAAGAATATATTCAGTTCGAAATAAATCTTATCTGAATTTTTGGAGCACAAAAACCTTTTCAGAAATTCTGAATCTAATAGGTATGTATCATCATCATAAGGTCGTCAGTCTTAAGACTGGTTGGGCACGTACCTTAACCCTTTCCTATCCTGAACTAAACTTCGCATTTCCCTAAAACTAGAACATCCCACATCCTTATCTTTTTAAGTATATTGAACATCGTGTCCCATTTAACATTGTCAGAAGCTTTTTCTAAATCTACAATTCCTATATACGCACTCTTTCTTTTTTCCATCGTTTTCTCTATCGTTACCCGTAAAGTTAGGTGTACAATGTATCATAATTTCTTTAGAAAGGATTTAATGTTTTTTCAAACATTATTGGAGGTAAAATTACATAAATACAATAGACAAACCCAGTGAAAGCAAAAACAATCATCGAATTTAAACGTCTTAACTGATATTCGCTGCAAGTTAAAAGTATGGGTGAATGAGGAGAAATTGAATCCCTAGAAGAACTTCTTTAGGAAACGTGTAAAGGCAGATTTACTAATTAACGATTTTTTTTGGTGAAATAATGAAATGAATTAATATTTGACTAAATAGTAGTGTATGGTTGATGCTTCAGTTGTATAAAGAGATGACTCGCGTACATTTTCTTTTCTGTAAGTTCTATTAGGAAAATTCACTTTAAATTTTCTTTACGCATGAGCTAGAAGGGTGGGGGGGGCAAATGTCCCATTTATCCCACCTTGGCTACGAATACTAAGTTTTCTAAAAGTTGCTTCCATTAGGAAGTTGTATGTACCATATAAACATGTATATTAGACCAAAAACGCTAAAAAAACGAACATAACGTGTCATTTTAGATAATACTACAAATGGCGCAGTAAACGCCAACTGTAGCACGATGCTACACTTTAGGATTACGTATGCTCAACAAGGTCTACTTGTGTGGATATCTACTTGCTGAAAACGAATCCCGGCGTAGCCAACCTCAACGTGATAGGCACGTTAGCTTAATCGAATAAAATAATTCGAAATGGTCTGTACTGCGATGGGCTGATGAGATCCAAAAAGATCGAAATCGCGATCCGCGTCTGGCAGTTTCGTCAGAATACAGACCATTTCGAATTATTTTATAACGTGTCATGTCTGGAATTCATCCAAAATACAATTTTTTCCCATTGTCTTAGTGTTGCAATTACATAAAGATATTAAAACAAATTTTATTTTTTACATACTGCTACAGTAATTCTTGTAAAGTTTATATCCAATTTGTTAACATATCTGTTTTTACTGGAGAAATTATAAATTACTAACTTCTAAGAAACAAAAGGGCTTGTGTTTTACCTCCTGTTACCAGTTGCTGTCATAACACTGTGAAGCACTTGAAATTTGCTTAAAAGCAATACGTAATTAAGACCTTCATTTTTAGGTATTTTATTTACCATGCTGTAGCAATAAAAAGCATAAACAGTTTTTCTTTATATATTTATTTACTATTCGGCTGTATAAATAAAAACATTGTTAGTTTTTGTCGTCAAGTTCTTAATAATTATTATAAAACAACTAACTTGATGTGATAACGGTATTGTTAAGCTTTGTGGTAAACTGTACTGCTCTACCATACATTCCGCTGTGTAAGCTCTTATTGGATCGGTTTTTGTTACACGACATCAATTGTTTGTGGCTTTTTCCATCCTCCTATTAGTTCTGAACGCGAACGGCTATAACATGTTACTGTTTTTGAGAAAATTAATTGCGTTCTTGTTTGCCAGAATTAAGTTACAATACAAAAAGTTGCAAGTCATGTTATTGAAGCATCTCTAATACTTTAAAAGTAAAATTCCGTCACATTAATCGTAAATGAGGAGCACCCATGCAAAACTGCACATATCCATTGAAAGTTATTTTAGAAAAACTGTTATTAAAATGTAGAAAACTTCATTTTATAGACAAGTTTTGTTTTGAAGGGACTTGTTGATTACTCTAAAGCTACTTAATTAACATATATTACCCTTAGCCCAGAAAACGAAGCTTAAAATAGTACAATTAAGCTTCGCAATTTTTTCAAAATGTATCGATTTGCATAAAAATTTGGGATTAAGCTCAACTTACCCTCCACTTTAAAATCTATATTATGTCGATGGGGGCTGTATATTTTTTAGGAGCGAAAACTACTCCTCTTTGTCCGAAGCTATAAATGTATATAATAGAGCTTAAAGTGAGTAAAATTTATAGGATTTTAGAAGAGCTACAACTAGTTACATTAAATCCTATTAAAATTCTTAGTTTTAAAACAGGGTGAGCTTAAGAGTATACACAAGGTTGTGCACGTTTTAAACATCATTTTTGTCGTGCAGAAAATGTGCGGAATTAAAAAAGCTACAATTTGACACTGAAGCATTTTTTACGTATCACCAGTAGTTTTAGAGTTATTTTGAAGAGAAACATTTTTCACGAAATTGCAGAAATTCGATTTTCATTTTTAGCCCCAATTATTTCAACTGGTCAAACGTATAGAATGTATTAATAATACATAATTAAAGAGAACTGAATGATAACGACTAATTTTAATTAGGGTGGTAATTACGGGGTTGTTTTTGCTGATTTTTTCGCTGAAAAAAGTAGAGATCGACCTTATTTTCATCATAACTCGCTATTTTTATGCTAAATATGTTTGTAAAAAAGAAAATAAATGCTATTTTAAATATTTAAAAAATATTCTATAAGGTCTTCTCGATAAAGCAGTTTTCCAGTTGTATGACTATGAAACTCTCTAATATAGCGTCTGATGAACACGCGGTGACCTTTCGGTTCCTATTAGTCAAACAGCAATCATTTAAAAACCTTTTTGTTTGTTTCTTTTAAAGCTACAACTTTGTTCTCTACATTTTTTGACGTGACAACGTCTTATAATTCGATGGAACCGGCTGAACGCACGAAAAAACATGACTCATGCGGCGTTACCTCGCTCTGAGGCGTTCCATTTAAGGCTTGAAGTGCAAGCGAGAGCGCGGAACGAGCGACAAAAAGGCACAATCGGCCTCCGCGTTCGGCAGCGTTCGACATCTGTCTCTCTCCTACTTGAGTGAGCGATGCGTCCGCGTGGACAGCTGCTATACAATAATATATTTTCATTTACCTCCTTCTCTATATCCATACAAAATATTTGAAAAATGAAACCATTCCATCAGTATTTTTTTATGACGTTGTCACGTTCAACTATCGTCAGTAAATCGACTTTACAGACAACCGATTTTTTTTATAATTCAGAATATTCGCGAATAACCAATTAAAATTCTATGAAAAACTGATATTTTCGATGGCGAATAACTAGAAAAGTACTAATTTTACAAAAAAGTGTATAGAACACTTCTTGCTTAGAATTAATTTTTCTGTGATCAAATTATAATAAAAAAATCCATCCCCGAAATAGGGAGTGACCACCACCTCCAGGGTAAAAGCGCCCTTTGGTGTAATAGGTATAGATTTTGATCCTTAGACCAGTCTCTACCTACTGTCAATATTTCAAGTTAATATATTCATTTTAAAAAAATTGCAAGGCCTCTTAACTATGAGGAGTTTTGATTGAAATGCAAATATATTTCCTGTTATTAGTGATGGGTTGTTCTGGGAGGGGGGGGGCTCTTGGATTTCCCGAAGGGTTTACTGTAAATAGGACAGGTTTCGCATAATTTTGACATGAAGTTCGGGTTAAGTTCAAAAAGTTGCAGACAATTCCCACTTTAATTAAATTTGAATACATTTATTATACAGAAGTTAGAAGCAGCTACTGTGAAAGCAAATTAAGTCAACTAAGGCAACTAACATTACGTGCTCACTCTATTTGAGGTTTTACAATTAGTTATAATATTCAAAAAGCATTAAGCAACGGAGAGTTTACGAAATAATTAAGAAAATAAATAAAGATCCAAACAAATACGCATTCTAATAAAGTACGTACTTATTAATATTGAATTAAGTTGTTTTTTGCGATTATTGCAAAAAATGTGGACTAGACCAGTTTTTGCAAAAATGAATCTAGACAGCATGTTCAGTAAGAATATTCATGTGCGTAGTTTCAAAAAGTTGTGAAAAGTGTATTTATAAACAAATGGAATTAAAAAAACAAAGTTTTCTTGGTTTATGCTTCCGTTCTCAAAAGGGAAAAGTAACCGTTATAAAATCACTTATTAGTTGTCTGTCTATCAAGACCCTTTTTCTCAGGAACGCGTGGAGGTGTCAAATTGAAATTAAAATTAAATGCTTAGATCTGTAATCTCTTAGAGCTGTGAAAAAATCAAACTTCTAAGTAAACGCAATTAAAAGGTACGGCCGTCTATGCCGCATATTTTGACATTCGCAAGGGAACCAAAACCTATAGGATTGGCTTAGAACTATGAAAACTGACCAGAAACAATGTCTTTTATAGCGCAAATAAAAGAAAACTATAAATCTGAAGAGAGGACCGACTATTTACATATGTATCTACAAGTTTGTGCGGAAACCGTGGTGCGCGAAACCGACTCGTACTTTTCTTTATAACATTGTTAAACTTTAGAAAGTTCCTGAATGCAGGTTGTTGAGAATCAACGTTCAACGTTTGTAGAAGGGGTCGTCAATAAAATACGTCACTCAGAATTTCACCTCTTTCGACCCCTCCCTCCTCTTTCGACACGTTAAATCACACTTTCAGCGACCCCCCTAACCAATATTACGTCATAAAAGCTAATCCACCCCCCTCCCTATAACGATTCCTTGTGGTTAAAAATGACAATAATAGTGACGTTCCATAGTAATATTTAAGAACTATCGAGTTAAGAAAAACATCACAATAAAATTGATAAACTGAGAATGTCACATTTTCTTAGAACCCGTCCTCCCCCATTGTCATATCTCCTCGCATTAAGCAATACGCCTCCCTCCCCCTTATTTGCGAGCGTATTTTATAAACAACCCCTAAGATAAATGCCATGCAATTTTCAAAAAACTCCCCAAAAAACGTGAAATTCTAAAAGATAAATTTTGGACAAGAAGTTTTACTTAAACATTAACCATGCAAAAGACTAGTCTAATCCACCTTTATTTTACAAAAATTTCCTAATTCGACTGGACTAAAATTTAGCGTACGTATAATTAATAAATTATAATTTCAATCAATAGAGGAAAAGGTGGCTATGTGGCCCCCCACTCTGTTTTTTAAGTTTTATTTAAAAAATATAGGAGTGACAAACCTCAAAGATACATTATAGGACTTCTTATTTATTTGTCTATACATGTCTGACTATGGAATAAATGAAACGCGTACAGGATAGCAAAAATATNGCAGGAGCTGAATCACCCGTTTTCAAGCCCTACATTCATCTCTCAATTAAAACTGTAAACATTAATAGTACAGTCGAGAGAGGTTCTTATTTTTTAGGAAATTTCCTGCTCTTGGAGAATCTTTTTCCCGATTTCCGATATCTGTAACATTTTTTGAGATATTTGGAAACAATGAAACCTCTTTTGTAAATTGGTTTATTACTTGTTTTTTTTTTTCGAAAACATTCCAGATGTCATTACGAATCCAATAACACCTTGCTCATAATTTTACGTGAATTCAGTACCGAATTCGACCAAATCACTCTTCTTAAGTAGACTAATGGTGTTTTATTTAATTGAATTCATTGCGTCTTCGTCACATTCACAGCCACTGCTGAATGTGGCCCTCGGGACCATAATACAACCAATGTGAGGGGGCCAAATTACAACTATTGAGAATATTTAAACAAACGTACCAAAAATAATTATTACAGGTCTAATTTTGTATTTACCTTTTAATTCCCGTAGAAGAACAGTTCAACGTATCCAATGTCCGAACACAATAGCCAAAACACTCTATTTATAAACAATTACCGAATTAAAATCACAGTACTTTAAAGTTTTACCGGTAACGACTTTCAACTGGTTCGAATGGCAATCGAACGTGACAGGCTCTGGTGGATTTGTAAGGTACTAAATACGTATCATGCCGCGAGCATCCCGTAGCGCATAAAACATCCTAAATGGCGTTGTTCAAACATTAAAATATTGAAATGGCCAATATATCTGCAGGGGCCACATTACCACCTTTTCCTCTACACGATGCGTCTACTGAATAAAATTAATAAAGTAAAGCTAATACGTTTCCGCGTCCAGATCCAAAATTTCATAACATTCCTAATCCAAATGCAATTCGAGCGCCGCAACTATTAACATTAGAAAATTGACTACTAAATATAAAATATTTAATGGCAATGTTTGAATTTTCATGAGCGTTAATTATAGGATACTTTTTGCAAAAAGGAACGGATCTTCCAAGGACTCGAATTTGAATTTTTGTGTGGGTTGTAACCTATTTCTGCAAAAAACTAGTGTATTCCAAATTTTTTCACAAAAACTTCCTCTTTCGATGGACTAAAATTTACCATAAATATGATTAATAAATTATAATTTCAACCAATACACGATGTCTACTGATTAAAATTAATAAAGTTTGCCCATACCTACCGAGCATTTTAACGTTTCTGTAAAGCGAATATTGCATTTCTATTTGTCATAATATTCAAAAAATAGTCCGTATGTGTGTAAAGTGTTGATAAATAAACGTCGCACGCCCAGGCAAATGTTTCTTAATAGAGTAAATAAATTTACGGAATGGAATTGTAAACAAAAGAACATCGTCTTCAGAAATAAAGTAAGTTTCTCAAAGAATAATTTTCACGTCAAAAAGCTATTTACACATATTGCAATAAGTAACTAGTGTTTCATCATCGAGGTACTAATTTTTTCATTAAATTAATAAAAGAGGGTATATCATCTTTCAGTAGTCTTCTACGCTTAGTTAGTTAAATATGAAAAGCTATTAAAAAGTTCTCTTCTGCTATTACGTCTTTTGAAACGATAAAGTTTTCCCACTTGGATTGCTTTAATCCATTTTCTTTGCATGTCTACTTTTCTAGAGAACCTTAACATAGCTTGTTCTTACTTACTTGTGAAACAAAACTGGGAAATTTTTAAAAAATCGTTTTCTACAACCGTATGTGTGACACGATTTAACCATTTTTTAATTATTGCATATTAGATCTTACCCGCCGCTTAACTCGCGTTAATGTCCTAAATACGTGTCCAAGATAATCGACGACCACATTTAACTAATTTTTCTATCCTTTGGAAACAGCATATTTTCTTTTGGATAAAATAACCGTATGTCCTTTTCTGTACCCTTGACAATGTGTCTACAAAATTTTATGATGATTAATTGAATAGTTAAGTCGTGAAATCGACCCATGAAACTAATTTATCCCTCAGGAACAGCATTTTTTCTTCTGAATAAAAGATACCTTGTGTCCTTTTCTGTACCCCTGACAATATTTATACATGATGATCGACTAAGTAGTCAAGGCGTGAAATCGACTACAATATTTTTTTCTGAATGAAAGGCACCCTATGTCCTTTTCTGTACCCTTGACAATGTGTCTACAAAATATCATGATGGTTAATTTAATAATTAAGTCGTGGAATCGACTACATGAAACTAATTTTTCTATCTCCCGGGAACATTTTTTTTTGTGGATTACAGGTACCCCATGTGCTTTTCTGCACTCCTAATAATGTGTCTACAAAATTTCCTGATGATCGATGGAATAGTTAAGGGCATGAAATCGACCACTTAAAACTATTTTTTTTTTCTATCCCTCGGGTACAATATTTTTCCTGGATAAAAGATACCTTATGTTCTTTTCTGTACCCCTGGTAATGTGTGTACCGAATTTCATGATGATCGGCTAAGTAGTTGAGGTGTGGAATCGACCACATTGAACCTTTAGGAACAGTATTTTTTTTTAATAAAGGGTACTCTAAGTTCTTTTTTGTACCCCTTACATTGTGTCTACAAAACTTCATGATGATAGATTGAGTAGGTAATTAAGGCGTGAAATCATCCACATAAAACTATTTTCTATTTATCCCTCAGNGTACCATTACATGACATGCTTCCCTTTTTATAGTTAACGAGGAAGAAGAACCTCCCGAAGAAGTAAGTTCCACTAATAATCACAAATCGATACCACTGGCTCTTTTGGCAATCTTAATGACTGCTGGTGTTGTTGGACTGGTTGCAGTTGCAGTGAAATGGAGCTCGAAAAAAGCTAGACATGATGCTGACAACATTTCAATAGCTTCAGAAATATCAACAACGAGTTGTAGTACAATCGCTGAAGAAGAATACAATAAAGACGATAAAACGTCTTCTAAGTATCAGGGTTTGGAAACTGCATAAATAATTTAATTTTTTTAATGGTCTTCTGTTTACTCTAGAAATGACTGAAATTTTGGGTAAAGCTGACAGAACTGGAAACATTGGTGATAAATAAATTAGCTTACATAACGTGTTTCCATTTCTTTGCTTGCTAAGGGCGCGAAAATCGAAACCTTCCAATTGGTTTAATTTTTTTGCTAAGTAAACTAGGTACTGCTTTTTTTTTATACTCCTTGAAATTTGGATCATGATTCGGAAGGTTACCCTAATTACATTTCAAATCAGACCAACCGTCCTAACCTCAACTTTATTTCAAACTCAAAAAAAATCAACTTCCCTCCCATGCTCCCTTTCTCCTTCCCAACCATTACATAAAGGACTGAGAAAGGAAGACTTTTTAACCCCTCCTATTTTCATTAGTCAGAAATCCATTTTGGTCTAGACTCATTATTTATGCATATAGTTTTGTATACATACTTATATATGTATATTTGTAGAATAATCCAATTTTTGTCTGATTAAAAACTAACTTAATAAACGTGAGCTCTCTACTAGATATTTGGAATACCTAAATAACTTAATTATATCAATAAGCAGGTAAGTTATCTGTAATTTTTATTAATAAGTTAACTTATTATTGCAAAAGCATATCTTCACTGTACTATATCACTTACATATGTTGCATTATAAACAGTTGAAAGCTAATATAGGAGTTATACTAGACAAAGTAAGGCCTAAACTTCGGAATAATTCTGGGATCCACATTTTTTATGAAACGCTTTATATTCGGTTTTAAATAGTATTAATTTAAAATGCATCTTATAGTAAAAGCGTGCAAATTGTTCAAATGTGCTTAATACAAATGTGGCATTAAATTTTAATAAATCAAGATGACGAACTTAAAATGATCGATGTAAAATAAAATGTTGGGAAATTAACCAGACATTAGCATTTTTTAGAATATACTGGTAACGGCAATTTCGAATTTGAAATTAAATTAAAAAATTTAAAATTTGAAATTGCTACGGTTTGTTTATTATTCTTTTTGTCATATTTACATAGGTACCTATCGTTTTATGTTGGTAATTGCAATATTAAGGGTGTGTTCCGAAATATAACCTAGCATACTGGCCAGTGCTGATGACTCATAAATCGACGCCATATTGTACTAGTGAGACAAATGTGACGTAGTAGTATATCAAACGGGCGTGTGTGCATCAGACTTTGAGGAATTTTTATTGTAAGAAACTAATAACTTTTGAAGTAAAATTGTTATGAACAAGCACAAACACTATTCTCAATATATCGTCAATTTGAAGTCAGTATATTTCGGTATGAATCAACAGTATGGTGCCGAAATTTTAGCTTGCTTTACTACTATATTACTACGATAGTTTTGTGTCAAAACTTAATTGATGATGATGAACATACACTAAAAGTTACTATACATGTCTGCTTGCGCTGAAATGCCCAGTTATTATGTACGGATATTTTAACACTTTATCGAGTTTTTATTTCTCAATATAAAAGAAATATTTTCGAAGGTTAATGTTTTTTTAATCACAAAACATTGTAGCTTTCATAAAAAATATTTTACCTTGAAGTAGGTATTAATAGTACACTTCATAAGCTTCAGATTGACCAGCTACAAACTAAGGTATCATTTTCCAATACTTTATTACAATCACAATTAGAAAAGTGCATTTTTTTTTAAATTTATCATCTTTGAAGGTCTGGCTTTTAAAAAATAAATTTTTCTAATTTTTTTGTCCAAGCAAGTATTTTGGCCCATTTTGTTTAAGTTTCGTAGAATTATATGAAATTCATGCAACAGTAACTTCAGGTTAACGTATGAAGCATTTGTAATACTTAAAATTTTTTGAAACACATTTAATAGGTACCCCAAAAAAATGATATTTTGGTTTTGTAAATTAAAGGTTATAAACGCATACGTGTGCTCACGCGTTCCCACTTTCAAGAGCGGGCAGGCGGCTGATGCAGCGCGAATTGAAACATTATTTAACAAATACTGCTCGCTAAATTTGAATTGAAGAAACATGTATGATAGGTACATGTATGATTCATTTGTGAAATTTGCCGTTATTTCGAATGGCGCTACCAGTTTTTTGACAAAAAAGGATGTAAAAAGTTATTTACAGAAAATATCATTTCTATATGTAAATTGTTAGATAAAAAATTTAGCACTCGCTTTCTCACGGATGCATTTTAATTTGCTATTTTTCACTCCTTTTAAACATTTTCTAAAAGGAAACACCGATCGGAGAATTTGTCCGAAATTATAAAATAATTTGACTCCACTGTAAAGCTAGGCTTTAATTTGGGATTAAATTGAAACTTGTGTACATTATTTAAGTATAAAGCTTCTTTAATGTTGTACGTAAGTAGGTACGTGTGATTCTTTAAAGTATATTTAGAAATAGGATTTGTTTATTTAAGTGTATATGTATAAATGTATTGCGTATTTCCTAGATTATATACCAGATGTTTGTACAATACAAATAATAAAGAGATGCAAACGTCGGGTATAGTATGCAATATTTAAAGAAATATATTTATTTACTTCACAAGCACTTTTTATTATTTTTGAATCACCTTGTAATTAATTTTTAATAAATTTACTACTAAATGGTAAAGAAAACTGCTAATACACGCTATGTGAAAATAGGGCACATTAACCCTCAAAAATTAAGTAATTACAAGAACTTGTTCTAGACCAATATATTTTTAATCATATTTAAGTATACATACTTGGTAATTTTCAGCATGCTATAAAACGAAGTATCCTTTGAAGTCGTGCTTTTTAAGAGTTTCACTAACTGCATAGGGAACTTTTAACCTTACTCATTTATAGTACAGTCACTGAAGGTTTTCACCTCCGATTTCGTTGAACCTCCATCGATTTTCATGAAAACTGGTGAGTAGTTAGAGGATACCTCAAGAAACAAAAGTTACATAGTGCTAACTTGCGCTTTTACCCTGGGGGTGGATGCCATCCCTTCTCGGGGGTGGAAATTATTTTATGAAAAATAACCCCAGAAATCAATAGAGGGAGCAATTATAAGCAAAATTTGTTATATAGGGTTATTAAAATAAATCAATACTTTTTGAGTTATTAAAGATCAGATTTAGATTTTTCGTGAAAAAAATGCATGTTTTAAAGCGGTTTTTCATAAATAACTTAAAAACTATTAGGTTTTACAAAAAATTTGTCATTATCAAAATTGAAGCTAATAAAAAAACAAAAAAACTCTCCTTAAAAAACCTTTTAATATTAATTCAAAGTGAGCTATATGTAATTTAATGTATACTTTTTTTCGGCGAGTGCTCAAATCTAAATATTCAAGCTTAAATAACGGGAAAATGCATTTTATAAAATACTAAACACTTTTCAAAGTACCCAGAAATACCTATCAAATGAGCTACAGAAGAAGTTGATACCATCAAAATTAAGCAAGTTATGATGAAAATAAGAACAATATGATTTAAAAAAATCAGAATTTTTCAAATTTTCGTAAATCTCATTTTCTTTTGATAATATCTCCAAAAATACCCAATATACGTAAAAAATAGTAGAGAACGAAATTTGAGTTTTTTTAAACAAAGATTTTAGTTTTTTTTTTTATTTTTGTAGGATAAAAAATAACCGAGATAGAAACGTTTAAAGCCTACATTTTACTGCGAGAACCATGTAACCGGGGCCCTTTAACCTTTTATCTTTTAAAAAATAAGGGTTTTAAACGATTATATTTAATACGGACTTATAGCTCTTGAAATTACCTTTCAAATGGTTTTTAGATGAACCTGATATCATAAAAATTAATTGAGTTATTGTAAAAAAACCAATAACATTATTTTGGAAAACTTTTTGGGGCAGAGATTTTGAATGTATATTAGGAAAAAAGATAGATAGTAAGAAGTAGACGTGTTGATAGGTACATGCTCACAAACATAGATGATGAAAAAATGATTTTTTCATGATTTTCGATTTCAGGGGTAAATCTGTATTTTTCCCTATTTTTAACAAAAGGGTTGGATTTCACCCCTAAAATGCAAAAAGCGCAGGTCGAGCATATGTCACTTTTGAAGTTAAGGGTAAAATAAACTAAATCCCAAATTTTTATGCAAATCGATGGAGGTTCACCAAAATTAGAGGTAATAGTTAATTTTTACCTTCATTCACTGTACTATTAATACAGTTAAACAAAGCTGGCTCAGTTTAAACGATTCTGTAAAATTATTTGAGTAGAAGGCAAGTGGATAAATCAATTTTATTGTAACAGGTTTTCTCGCTGCTTTAATAAATTTTAAGGCAATAATTTATTGCATTATTGACCTTTGTCTGAAGATTATTTCAATATGTTATAGGTACACGATCTGAAACATAAATATAAAAGTTATATTGATACATCATTGATCGATTTTATTTGTTGTTTTTAGATAGATCATGCGAGTTTTTAAAGCAATCTGCGGGGAAATGCTTTGTTGTGATGTGAATGGGATGTAAAATGTAGACCCTCACGCATGCGACCACTGTAAAGTAGCATTTCATGTATTTCAATTATAGAATTTACAGAGCAGGTATGTTGTCATTCGTGCTCTTCATGATCATCGTCATTGCCACCTTTTCAGGCTTTACATGGAGTATTTCTCGACTAAAAGGTTTAAAAAAATGTACTCAGCATAAAAATAATTTGTTTTTAAAAACATATTTTTTGTTACACCTAGCAGCCAGTAACAAATTGTTGTCGCTCTTAAATACATTAATAGCCTCTAAACATGGAAAACAAAGGTTTAAGTAAACTAATAGTTCATTTTTAATTAGTTTTAATGAAGCTTTATTTTTGTCGTCCCGCCATTTTGTGTTCATAACAGAGAATTCTCTTTCTGTAAATGCTGAAGTGGCCGGAACGGACAGCAAAAGTGACACTACTTTGAACAGATTTGGGAAATCAGGTTGTTCTCTAAATATGGCTTGCCATTTTTCTGCAGTGCATGTTTCTTTGAAAGTGATGCTGCTGTTACAAATTTTTTCCCTAATTTGATTCTCAAAAATATTGTATTGTGCAATATTATTGATGTAAAAATACTCTGAATTTCGAATAATCGCTTACAAAATTACGATGTTTACATAAGCTTTTTAACTCAATAACCCCGTTAATGATAATCTTCAACACATGGGAGAGAAAGCAAACAAGGTGAGTTAATAAAGCCGGTACGCGTATTGTACATATGATGTCGTCCCTAAAAACTACATTAAAGCCAAGAAAATATTACGTTATCTCATTTACATAGGCCTCAATCTTATATTTTTTGAGTTTTTTAACGTCTATACCCTGTAAAAGTTTAATTCAGTTGCTTACGTTAATTGTATTTATTGAAAGAAATCAACTCGTAATAAAGGATGTAGAAAATAATTTATTGGAGTGTTTGTATTATAATTCTTCTATACAAGTCCATACACTATTTCATTTCCACTTTATTTTAAACATTGTGTACAATACGAAAAAAGAATTAAGTAGATAATTATAGACAGAAGCAAAGTTTTCGATACCAATAAATGATACCAACAAAAGGTCGTTGTGATTAATTAATTACATCTATACGAGGGTGGATTGATAAGTTTCCGGCCTAACCAAGAGATGACGCCACTAGGCCTACCTTGAGGTGACATTCTATAGTACCATCCTTGGATAGCTTGTAGCTATAGTTTCAGCCCGATCTCCTTGCTAG